AATATTTTTACTTTTTGCTTTTTGACCACGTGCACATCTATGAAAATTTTTTTATATCAATTTTATAATTATTTTATAATTGTTACAAATTTATATATTTATGCAACAAATAATTTACATTCAATTTTGAAATTTCTCTTTTTTAAACTATTATAATCAGAAAATTATTATATATAAAGATTTTGTATGTCGATTCTTCGTTTGTTAAATTTTTTTTATTTTTTTATAAAATTTCGAATATCAAAATCTCTAAAAATTCAATTCTTTTTTTATTCGAGATGAAACTCGAGTTATCGAAATTCGATAAATATTCATATTTCTAATTTTAAAAATAATAATTTTTAAAATTATATTATATATTCAAGCAAAAATATTAAATATTTATCATCTAATTCTTATTCATATTGAAATTTTGAAATTTAAAAAAAAAAAATAATATTATAGAAGTATTAAATATCATGAAGAGATCATGAAGAAAAATTCATTACGTATATCCATAAAGTTAAAATTAAATAAGTTAGATGGCATAATAATCGCATTATGTTATTTTCTTTAAAGCACATCTTCTATTTATTTAATCTATGATTATACATAGTTGAAAGGTAGTTTAAATCTTATAAATTTAAAATTTGGTTAGGAAAATTCTTATATATTTTCAATGATAATTTTTTAAAAATTTTAATATTTGCTTCTTTTTGTTTCCTATGTAAAATAAAAATGGAAACTGAATCAAACGAGTTTAAATCAAGGAATTGTTTAAATGGTGAAAAAAATGTACAAAATGAGATAAACAATCTACTATCTGTTAATAAAACGTCTATCTCTTCTGATATATCGGAAAAAGATACAATTTCAAATATAAAAGATAATATTGTAACTTTTAAGAAACCAACTGTGTTAATTGGTCCGAAACGTTCTGGATCGGTACATAAAATTTCAAACACATCTCTTTCAACAGACACGTGTTTACGTGAAAATAATGATCATTCAAATCGTGACAAATCTCAAGAACATTTACAAGATTGTTCATACATAGAACCACTATGGGGAGGAAAGCCAAAAGAAAACTATAAAATGGAAGTACTAAAATCTGGTGTCATTGTTGAAACGATTTCACTCAATGAACAAAGTTTTTATGTTATTGGACGTTTACCTTCGTGTCATTTATCACTTGCACATCCTACTATTTCAAGATATCATGCAGTTTTGCAATATAGATTAGAAGAAGACAAAGACAATGATAAAGGTTTTTATGTATACGACTTAGGAAGTACTCATGGTACTTTTTGGAATGGAAGTCGTATAAAACCTAATATTTATGTAAGAATACGTGGAGGTCATATGCTTAGATTTGGTTGTAGTCAAAGAAAATATATTTTACAAGCTCCACCAGAAGATGTGGAAGAAGAATCTCAATATAGCTTGACAGAATTAAAGGTATTTATCATTTAATCTAAAGACTACTTTGATTTGTGTTATTTTTTTTAAATTTTTTTTATATAATCTAATAATTATTGATAAATTTGAAATATAATAGTTTTTAATGTTGAAATATATTTATTTAAAAATTATATTTTGTTAAAGTTTAATTTAATTTTATTGTATAGTTAACATTATATGATTAAATCCAAAATTTATATTTATATTTAAATATATTTTTTTTGCATATCATGTTGCCATTATATAATGATAGTATTTCATGCATAGGAAATAAATTATTAAAATGTTAGTAATGTTAGATATTGTAAAGTTTAAAGTAAAAATAAAGTATAGATTTTAAATGAAATAAATGATATTAGGATTTTTTGAAAGAATTGAATGGTTTTCTGTGAGTACTCTTTTGAAAATATTTATTTATAAATATAATTTTTTTGTAATTATAATTTATCCAATTTGTCAAATTCTAAAGAAATAGCAATTGGAAAAATAATGAATATGATTTTTTATATTTAAATAATTAATTGTTCTCAAAAATCAAATTATAGAGAAAGTGAAGAATTATAGAAAGTATAGAAAGTATGGCACTTTACTTGATTTTGTTACTTTAATGAATTTAAAATATATATTTTTAAATATATTTTGAATATAAAATATGAAACTGATATTATTATCATTGCAACTTTAAATCATTGTAATTTATTATTATTCATTCAATTAATTAATTTTATTCATTCAAGTTGTCTTATATTTTATTCTTGCATTCTGTGAATTCTAAAAATCTCTAATGTCTAAAAGATAAATCTAAATATAATAAAGTATAGTAAAGTTTGTATAATAAATTATTGCAAAACTTTATTATAAATTTTAAATAAATAAATTTCAATATTAAAAATCATTATATTTTATCTATATTTATCAATAATTATCAAATTAACCAAAAAAAAAAAAAAAATTTGAAATAAAATAATGCCCTGAACCAAAGTAATCTAGAGATTTTTTTAATGTTTTTTTAATTGTTTGTTTTGTAAATAAATATAAAATGAAACAAAAAATATTTTAGGAAATGAGAGCATCTCAATTGCAAAGATATCATGAAAAAGAAAAAGCTGAGGAATCCATTGAAAACAAAGAAAGTGAAGGCATTGACTGGGGAATGGGAGAAGATGCAGAGGAAGAAACAGATTTACAAGAAAATCCTTATGCTTCATTTGTTGATGAAGATTTAATTTTAGAAGATCCTAAGAAAACTCTAAGGGGATGGTTTGAAAGAGAAGGATATGATCTTCATTATCAAGTAGAAGAAAAAGGATTTGGACAATTTTTATGTTGGGTAGAGTAAGTGTTTTATTTTTATATATATGTTTTATATATATAAAAATATATATGATTTATATGTTTTTAATTATATTTATAAAAATATCTTAAATATGGAAAATATTTAGTCTTCCTACTGAAGATATTGTTGGCCATTCAATGAGAGCAGAAGCTCTTGTTAAAGGTAAGAAGAAAGAAGCAGTTATACAATGTGCACTCGAAGCCTGTAAGATATTGGACAGATATGGATTATTAAGGCAAGCAAATCATGGTAAGAACAATATTATATAATTTTTATAATAATTTATTATAAATTAATATTTTTATCAATAATTTATTATTTTTTCTTTGTGCATTATATTTGTTATTGAAATATATTAAAAATAACTTATAAAAAACTTATAATTTTTTCTTATTTCATTTTAATAATTAATTCAATTATAGAAGCAAGAAAAAGGAAAACAAGAAATTGGGAAGCAGAAGATTATTATGATTCGGATGAAGATAATTTTTTAGATAGAACTGGATCAATAGAAAAAAAACGTGAACAGAGAATGCGATTAGCTGGAAAATTAGAGCAAAAAGTAGAAACATATGATTCATTAGTGAGTTAAATTGCATTATTTTCTATTTTATAATTTAAAAATAGATAAAAACAAAAATTTTATTTATTATTGTTATTGTAGCTTGAAAAACATAAAGAAGTTACAGAAAAAATAACACATTTATCAACTTCAATTCAAAATTGGCAAAATGCAAATACTACAAAAGTTGATACAACTGAAGAGGATGCATTAGATGCTTTTATGTCAAGTTTAAATTCGTTTGCTTTAACTAAAAATGATATTGCTAAAATGAAATTGGAATTACAAAATCTTCAAAAAGAAGAATCAAATTTAATTAAATTATTAAATTTGACACAGCCAGCAAATTTACCCACTCTTTCTTATTCTAATATGAATTATAGTACAGATGCAGATATGACTATTATGAAAAAAATACCCTCTGAAACAAAAAAACTTCATCACAATTCATTAATTCGTCGTAAAAAGGTAAATAAATATTTATTTTTAATTTCATTTAGTACTATTTTTTATTATATATATATACACACATACTTATACACTTCTATTTATATTATTTACATTAATTTAAATAAAATAATTATATAGGAAAAACAAACAAATCAACACGAAAGTACATTTAGTAAATTACATGTAGAAAACATAACAGAGGAAACAGAGTGTATAGAAGAAGTTGATAGTGACGATGAATCAACTTCTAATTCATCTCATAATGAATTATATAACAAAAATGTTGAATTACAACAGTCTAATAGTACTATTGTTACTGTTAAAAATGAATCTTCTGAGAAATGTGAAGAACAACATAAGCATAAAACACAAAAAACTCAGGTAACAAAGAAACATCGACAAAAGCAACAAAAAATATATTGTGACCAAGATACGGATAATTATTCGACATGGATTCCTCCATTGGATCAAGTAGGAGATGGAAAAACAAGTCTCAATGAAAAATATGGTTACTAAAATTCAATTTGATTAATAATATGTTAACTGGATAATATATTGCATTATAATATTTTTTAAATTTATGATTTTAATTAATTAATATTGTAAATATCGTATAATATTTATTATCAATTTACGATATGTTATAAATATACAGTATTATATGATATATTTATTTTATAATAATTTATTGTATATATATTATTAATTGAAAGTTTGAAATTACAAAAAAATCAGATTAGAAATTGTTAATATATAATTTTTTAATATAAAATTTATCAATGTAAAATAAAATTATCATTGATATTTATATTATATTATTATGTTAATACAAGATTCTATCAATGTACAATGATATAATGATTGTAAAATTTCAACTAATAATGTACATTTTAATGTAAATTTAAATATAAATGTTAAGTTTCGATATTCGATATATCAATCGATTGTTACGTATATTTCGATATATCGATCGATTTTTACGTTTTATTATTACATTTTATGATTCATGATGACGTTTAGAATAATGATTGGATTACAAATGAGGTTTATGTATAGATAAAATATTAAAAGAGGTGAAATAGAAAATATATAAATTAAGTGATCAATATTCTTTTTGCTCTTTATATATTTATAACAATTTTTTTAATTGTATTACTAATAATTTAATTATCAATCTTGTTGATTTATAAACAATTATAATTTTTATTACAGTTGTACATTTTATTAAATAAAATTCAAGTGAACATATAATACAATCATAATTGGATAATAACAAGAACATTTTCATATTATAAACAAACTTATTAAACACTTCAGTGTAGTGTTTGTTAAAACTGATTCAAAAATCTCTATAGCTTAAAATCTGTATATATTATTATTAAAATCACAGGTACAAAATTACGGAACAGAAGTAAAAAATGGATTATTCTAATGGAAATGAATTTGAAATATCTTACTTTAGAACGAGTACGTATATATAAAATATATGAAAAAAATATACAAAAACATAACCTAAACATGGACTAAGATTTTCCTTTTTTATTAAATTTCACTTATTATTAATAAATATTAATAATAAGAAAAAGAATTTAATTTATTCTATACAATGATTTTATTATTAGATAATTTAGATTTTTTATTTAGTTGAAAAAGATTTTAATCAAATATTTAGTCTTGTTATTATTATTCTTTAATATGCAATAAAAAAATATAATTACATAAAATGTTAATTATTAATTATAATTATTAAATTAACTAATCAAGTTAATGTTTTCATATAAATTTTAATCTTTGAATCTTTTAATCTTTTAAAATAATTTAATTATATTTAATATAATTTAATATAATTATATTTTAAAAATTTTCATAGTATGGAGTGCTATTGCATCTATTGGGTGGTATTTAATTGCAATTGGAATCTCATTTTGGCTTGCATCTCCTTATATTCGAGAGAAATATTTAAATTGGAAACTAAGAAGGGACGAATTGGAATATGCAGCAAAATATCGTAAAAGTAAATAAATATATATCATTATCTAAAATATATAAAAAGTATAATATATATAAAAATATTTAATCTTATTGTATAGATCCAGATCTCTTGCAAGCAAGATTATTAGGTTTGGAAGCTTCAAGACAAAGGATGCAAGAGGAATATTATCAGAAATGTGCCATGTTAACAGAAGAAAAAGGAAAAGAAGTAAATTATAAATATTGATTTTAAATATGATGAAATATTTCCTAATTATTAAAAAAAAAATATTTATTTTATATTTTAGCAAAAAGAAAACATAAAAGAAACATCAAAATTAACTTTGGACAACAATATCTTAGACTTTAGACTAAGAAAGAAAAATAATGATTTACCTCCTTTTACAGAGAAGAAACATAAGTCATTAAGAGAAGGTAAATATAGATAAAATTAAATGAAAGATATAAAAAATAAAATCAACAATCAATTCATACAATCTTTGTTACATTTGCTAATTACAGAATACAATCCATTAATGGGCGATGGTTCTAGAGGATATCGACCACCTAAACGCACGTGTTGCGGAAAGGGAGGTTGCGGGTAATTGTATGTAACTTAATTAATAGAATTTAATATTCTATTGATGAAAAAATTATAAGTAATTATTAAAATATTATGTTTTGTTATAATAAAATTATAAACTTATTAAACATGAATTTTATGATACTCTAAAATTATTTTCCATTTTCCTCTTTGTTATTTTGCTTTAGCTTAAGTTAAAATAAAAGGAAATAGGATAACAGGAAATATGTATATAATTTTTTTTCTTTCATTAAATTGTCAGGAATCATTGTCAAAAAAGTTAATAAAATACACGAATTTTCAACGTCACTTTTTCTTTGTTTTTATTAATAATCGTTACTCGTATATTATGTAACGTTTTCGTATATCGCTTTATATGTATATGTAGTACTTGACAATAATAATTATTACTTTTAAATTATCTACATTTGTGCGCGCGTGTTCGCCTGTATGCGTATGTTACTAGTCTGCATCAATTTTATTAGCATTATTTTTCTTTTCAATTATGATCAAAATGGACAATCACTCGCGTTTGTCTCATAATAAATAAGTTATTGCCTACGAAAACGCTTACGAACGAACGATTTCTGTTTTTTTCATGCGCTTTATTTACAAAACGTAAAGAAGATTTATGCTAAATCACTTATCAGCCTTTGTATTTAAATTTAGACCTAATTGTAAGACCTAAAAAATGCAAGTAAGATTAAAACTTGTCGAATCGCCTTGTTCGGAACGTTTTATTAGATCTTTCGATCTAAAAGTTAATGATATGACGATTAGTGCGATGTGACTACAAAATATTTTGTTATTCTACAATGTCGATAATTTTCATCTGCCATAGAACAAAACGTCCAATTTTCGTAAGAGACTATTCAGCTATTGGCAGTGATTGATAAATCACTTACGAAAATTTCGTAAAATTTCTATGAACATAATTCAGTTCAAGAATTACATTCAATTTGGTTATATTTCATAAACGGAAAAACACTGATCTGTTTCTCAAGCATTCCGTTCTCTGTTTTAATTTTCCGTTCCTTGTTAGATAATTTGAATGGTTAAATGCAGATGAGCGCAAGAACAAGCGTATAAGCACAGGAGTAATTTACGTAGAAATTAATTAAAGTTATGGACAATACGCTGATACAAGATGATAAAAAATAATAAAACGATGATACGTGGAATTGAAAACGAGGTTGTATTATTGGTAATAAGGATAAAATTAAAAATAAAAACGGACACTATACGCGGAAAAAAAAATTCGTATGTAAATCCCGATCCGTACGCGATCTTTTTTATTTTTGTTCAACTCGAAGGAGGGTTACGCGTAATATGATACAAACAGTATGAACCATCATAACAATCGTGCAAATATGAGAAACTATAAAAATAACATCATTACTTTTTTTGCTTCGCAAATTGATAGGATGGTTCAGAATAACGCCAAGAATCATTCACTCGCAATTCTATCGCGTAACGAAAGTATCACGAGTTGTCGATCTTGGACGCGAAATATTTTCAGTATCTAAGTAAGTAACTACTATCGATCGAATTTTCCCGTATCGCGGGGAATTTCGAGTGCGAATTTATATACAGATTTGGAGGTGTTTGTTTGTTCTCCCAAAAAATCTATGTGCCTATAGAACGACCATTTACCAGTCATTGAAGTCCGACGAAGTTTGGCAAACTCAGCGTACAATCTAAACAGACTATCAGAGATAGTTCAGATATTATTACGGTGAATACTTAAAATATACGTTCTACGTAGCTACGTTTCTCTCTCTTTCTCTCTCGGTTGAATTTTATCGTTAACATTCTACAAAAACGAATGTTTTTCCTTTTTTTTTAATTTGTTAATTATAAGTTTTTTTTTTTATTTTTGCTTCTCACCTTTCTGGATGGATTATACTTGTATCTATACGTGCTACGGATTTACCAATTTCATTTGCGAACTTTCACTCGCGCGAGTAATTTATACATATATCTATATTACATCAAATCGTATTTCCACATTTGGTGTACGTGGTCTTTCGGAATTATGACATTCGGCAGTGCGTTTAGTGTTAATATTCGTTATTCTATTTTGATCTAACACTTGTTAATAAATATTCAACGACCGCCGACTTACGATCTTTCTTTGTTTAAAAGAATAAACTAATTTTAATGAATTTGAGCGATTATTACGACAAGTGTCTTTTACTCAATCTCAATTTATGTTAAGTATTATTAAAATTATCATTACGTTGCCTCGATGAATTTTTTCGCAACATAAAGAACAGATCGAAAGATGATTTGAAAAAGTAATCGAACTAATAACTTGATTTAATTTGAAATTTTATATTATTCAAAATTGTTTTAATTTTTGTATCTGCATTTTTGATTTAAATATGATTAAAATTGGAATGATCATATATAAATCAATCATTTTGATTATATGCCACATTTTATATTTATTTTATTTGGATGAATTGAATGAATAAATGAATTGGATCTAGATCAATACGGATTTTTTTATTTTTTTTGAGATTTGTAAAAGACATTGGTCGATGATTACTCTTGACTGTTTCAATTGCTTATAGAAAAAAAAAAAAAAAAAAAAAGAATAAGCTTGTACACGCATATATACACACGTGCATAAGTGCACGTGCATACATTCATACATTCATACATTCATACATACATACATACAAAAATTGCTCGATATGATATAATACTTCTTGCGCATCAGTCATGATTTCAATAATTTTTTGCCGCATGTACCCTTAAGAGCTATACGTATCATTTAAGAAAAATCACGTGGCGATTGCCTCGCATTCACATGACGAAGTTATAGAGTTTTTCTTACCACTTAGGAACGTTATATTCGAAAAATAATACGATCGCGCGAAATGTTTGAGTGGCGAAAATCTAAAATCTCTGAAAAATAAGTCACGCCACTTAGATTAATGAAAATCATCGCACGTGTGTACGCCGGATCATATTTCATAAACATTTCCTTTTCGTCGTACGTTTTTGCATCCTATCCGCTTTTGTGTCAAATCTTATGGTCGTCCAATATGTATATTTTCTATGGCAGTGGATATATATATATATTGAGCAAATGAAAAATTGAATAATTGAAAAAAATCGTTCGTTATTTCTTATGATATTTATCGAAAATATCGCAAAAGTATCATATATGCGCAGTCACAAAACGCAGAATTTACATTCATTTATATTAAACTTAAAAAAAGAACTGATAATTATTGGGAATAAGAATAGCATTGATTCCAATAATCTTAAAATATATTGCCTAGGAATATTTCGAAGAACTTTTTTTTATATACATAACTGTCCGCTTTAGTTTCAAAGATATTTTATTTGAATTAAATTTGAATTAGATTAGATATATAAAACTATAGTTTCAATTACTTAAAATCTTAAATATAAAAGTAGAATATTTCACAAAATGTATTTTTAATTATAAGTTTTTGAACTTATGGCTGAATTAAAAACATAAATGAATAAAATTATTATAATGCATTATGATATATATATTTTTAATATTTATTTTTTGTATTGATATGGGTAATAATTTAATCTAATTCAACCAATAACTTTTACTAATTAAGTAAAAGATAATCTAAATCTAAGATGAAACTTCTATTTCATTTTTTCATAAATTAGTACTAATTAAACTAAAAAAACATGGATAAATAAATGCATCCATATTAAAATTAAATTGCAATATAATTTTATCCAAATTATATTATAATTTAATCCAAATATAATAACTTATGCAAATTTACAGAATTTTAATAAAAAATTTTTGTTAATAATTGACACTTTTTGAAAAATAGAAATAATTAATCTTTTAACAGAATGATTTTTATAATATACATTAGAGCTAACTCCTTTGAACTGTGTACATATTTATTTATGGTACACAGTATAAAAAATATTTTTCTGATATCTTGGAAACTAAGGTCAAGCAATGATTATATGAATAAAGAAAACTTATTCAAAATGTTAATCTTAACAACATATTTCAAAGTTATTGATATCGCTATTATATTCTTTTCAATAATTACCATAACTTATGCAAATGAGATTAAATAAATCCACCGGGAGGAAAAGATAAAATGAAAGCAGTTCGCGTATCATAGATAGAAAGAAAGGGAACAAGGGTTAAGGAATATCACGGTTAACAGTTATTAATGTTTGGAAATATTGAGGACGTAATTAGCCCGCAAAAGGTACTTTAAGACTGTTCGCGATATTGTCGCGCGAGACGGCTACGATTCGTTGCGATCGAAGTCAATTGTTTCACATTATTTCACATTGGTAAATATTACCAGGGATCGATTCCATTTCATAAAATTAGCCATCACGAAAGTCGGCCGGCCGACTACACTCTATAGGAGCATTTGAATTTCCACCACCTACAAAAACGTTATTCAATTTGTTGTATCTTTGACTTCCAGAACTGCTGACTGTATTCGAAGCTGAGGAATTGTGCTGAGGATAGCCGCCGATTCTCGAGAAGCTAGGCACTTTATCTGAAAGAGAATAAAAGAGAATAGAGATATCGATAATTGAATCAGGATGAGAAACAAAAATATAATGATAAATTTATGTAACGCCAACCTTTTCCACGGTTATGCCTCGACCTTTCTTGCGAGCTAACGCTTCCAGATTGCCTCGGGGGAATACAGGAATAATTACTATCACCGCTACTATAAGTCGGTGATGCAGTTCTAGTATTTCTTCTACGTGGGCTCCTGCCATTTCTATTTCGAGATCCTGTTTTACCATGAAGACAATTCACCGATGACGAGGCGAATTGATCGTTGTAGTCGATTGTGTTCCCATAGAGGCAACTAGATTCTGAACAGGAACAACAAATATCCGAGTGTGCGTTTGAATCGCAAGATTTTCTATCCCATTCATCATTCTCGGGCTGATAATGATTTTCCGTCGGATAGTTATCTTCATCGTTTCGTCGATAGATTTCTTCATTTGCCATCGATCGTTCCGATCGAGAATCCGCTCGATTTACATGACTATATGTAGAATCGTAATCTTCTAATGGCGAATCATTTCGTTGACCATACAAAAGAGAACCACTTTCATATTCGTTTTCTTGATTTCCTTTATACGATTCGTAACAATCGAATGACTGTGAAAATATAGGCAGTGCTGGTGGATTCGTTTGTGGGGGCAAACTTGTATATCTACTCTGCTGATGAACGTTGTTTTGTGAATTTTCGAAAGATTGCGATTGTTGACCCGAACTATTCCAAATTGTATCCGAGCCTCCTAAATTGTTCATTACTCTAGTTGGTGGACTAGGCGGACTTTGTGAATTTCTCGATCCAGAACCGGAACCAGATCCACCGCCGCCACTACCACTACCACCGCCACCACCACCACCACCACCTCCGCCTGCACTTCCAGAACCTAAACCAGAGCCAGAACCTGAATTCGAGCTCGTATTTAAACCTAATCCCAAAGCTAGCCCTGCACCCGCCATTAGATCTAAATCATTTTGCCTTTCAATACTTCTCTTCCCTAGATGAGGACTAAATGCAGTTTGATGTTGATATTGTTGTTGTTGTTGCTGTTGCTGTTGATGCTGATAATGATGCTGATGCTGATATTGATGTTGAATTTGATGCGGATGATGGTGATGATGGTATTGATATTGATGTTGGTGTTGATGATGCGTATGCGAATGTGTTCTGGAGGAACCGAGCGATCCTTCGAACGAGGGTGGATGTTCTGGTGGTGGTGGTAGCATATCGCACCAATTTGGAGGCTGATTCTCATTTGGTAACGGCATTCTATATTGATGACCCGCTCTTCTTTGTGCTTCTGTATTATCATCTGCATTATAAACGCTACTTGCATTGTCGCTGCTCGGAGACACGGTTGATTTGTTTCTATCTAAATTTGAATCTAAACTGGAATAATCGGGCTTGAGACAGGAATCACTCGAATTCGATTTTCGACCAGTGGTTTCTACCGAATCTGGACTACGAGCAGGCATGCAAAGTGTAGTCGTTGCGTATGGTTCTGGTGGCGCTTGCAATTGTTTTCGAGTATTGTAAAATGTTGTTAAATTAACTTCAGCATATTCTGAGCCAGTCATTCCAACGATTCCAGGTGGGAGACCAATTTGATTTTGATTACTCAATAGTTTCGTTTCGCAATCCTTATCAGTGGAGGATGCTTGGAGAGTATTAGTAGGTCTCCAACCACGCTCCAGCCACAGAGTATCTTTATTCAATTGACAAATGTCATTAGCTGTACCAACAGGAACGTTCAAATGACCGAGTTGTTTACTCATCGCTTGTCTTCGTCTAACGTAAACGGCGCCCAATAAAGCGGCAATAACGGTTAACACGACTGTTATCATTAAAATCAAAAACCAGGTTTCACTAACAACAGAAGCATTTCTTTGACTCGGATCCGTTCGTGGTGGCAACTGTGTTAATTGTCCTGGATCCATATTTAAAATAGTTGGATTGGAAAACGGTCCTTGACCCACGCGAGTATATCCGGCAACACGTGCCGTATAAAGACCACCTGTCGTCAAACTGTTTATAATTACTGACGTCGTCGATGCATTTAAAGACATCTGTCCCAGAATCTTGTTACTACTATTGCTCTTGATTTGAATCTGGCGAAGAAAAATAATTTCAATTCGATTGACAGAAAAGCATAAAAGAATATACTATATAATAAATAATTGAAAATAAAAAAGAAAATCTAAGATTCCATTCATTATTTTACCTTATATCCTAGTAATTGTCCGTTTTGTGTGCTTTTCGGCGGAGGAGACCAACGAACGAATGCTGATGTAATATTTATCATTCCGACATGAACATTTTCAGGAGCCCCGGAAGGTATATCTTCTAGTGTAGTCGCTAGTTTTACATTGCTCGGCCTCCCTTCAATAGTCTTGAAAAAAGGAACTAGAAAAAACTCGTAACGTGTGTATTTGTTTAGGTTGGTCAACACGTAACTAGTTGCTCCGGCGTTCAGCACAGTGACCATTCGATATTCCGGTTTCTCGGATACTTCACGGTATCTTATATACAATCCTTCAACTAGATCAGCTGCTCCAAGTATCTAAATGTTTATAGAACAAATACAACATCGAAAAAAATTAATCTCAATATGAGAAAAAGATGCAAGATTTGAGAATGTGAATATTTTAACAAACTTTCGACAAGCAAGATATATAGTTTCAGTATTTCAACAATCATTTTAATATCATATATTTACTTACGTCCCAAACAATTTTCACACTAGTGCTACTTAAAGGCTGAACATCCTTCAAGTAAAGAATCTCACTGTTGAGACGATCTCTTGCGCGAATCAATTCAGTTTGAGGAATCGCGTGTTGATCAAGATTTGTAGTACGTGCAACATCCGAGAATGGACCAGGAACAGAAAGACTTTGACTATTTCGAGCACGAACAAGGAATACGTAACTCGTATCAGGTGTGAGATTTGTTACCTATAAAAAATAAGATTACGTTATTGTAATTAATTGAAATAAGAAGACAGAATTGTTTTTTTTAAATCTAATATGTAATTGTATATCTATATCATTGCTATTATAGATATATAAGTATGGTTACAACTACAAGCAATATCATTTTAAAAATTTAATTTCAATAAAAAAATAATAATATTTACTTATATATATTTTTAATCAATGAATTATTATTTGGAAAGATCATTTTTTGTGATTGAAATAACTTTCAATCAAATTTCTCTTCTCTAAGCTTATCCAATGTTAATTTTGTAATTTATATTTTTAAAGATTTTTTATTGTTTAAGAAAATTTTACAATATAAAAATAGATAATAATGTTTTGATACTCAGTTAAAAAAAATATGGTTAAATAGATTAATCAGTTAATTGTTTAATTTTTTCTATTATTGTCTTTACATTTTATACATTATTATATAAATAAACTTATTTGTAATTTTCTAATAACAATTGTTTGTTTATATATATTATCTTTTATATTTAATTTTTTTAAATTACAATTTTAGTAATTTGATTTTATTTTAAATATGATATTATATTAATATTATATATT